CCTTATTACCTTATAAATAAATCTAACGATTTCTTAAGTCTAACGAAAATAAATCTAACTGTCTTTATTACTTCATAAATAAGTCTAACAATTTTTTTAAGTCTAACGAAATATAAGTTATATGATTTCATAAGTCTAATGAAAATATATATATTAAGGCCTGTCTCTATGCGCATTTGCTCAATAAATAGCATAATGATTAAATAAATCTAATGAAAAGTTGTCCTAATTTTTCTAAAATATACCATTCTATAAAATAAGTCTAACTGATTTATCATAAGTCTAACAAATATGTATACTAATATCTATTTCTATATGCGTTAGCTTATTAAATCTCTTCTTATCTATCATATAAGCCTAACAAAAAATGGTCTAATTCTTTCTATAATAAGTCTAATGAAAATTGTGAATAAAGAACTAATTTTACGCAAGTTAGCTCCTTAACTAGCATGTTTTATATAAAGTCTAATGAAAATAACTTCTGTAAAAATCCAGAAAAATTCGCAGAATTGTCTTAACTTTTCTTTAGTCAAGAACAGATTTTGCGCAAGATAACTCGTTAAATAGCATATAAATTATAAACCTTTAACAAAAAAAATAAAAAGCAAGTCTAACGAAAATTTAGCAAATGTTCATTGAATATTGCGCCTTTCAAATTCTAGCAAAATTTAGGTAAAGAGTTAGCTGAAATAATCTTTTTATTTATTCTGACCGACATCTATCACAATATTTTCCTTCTTCTAGTTTTATCAGATAGAGGCATTTCTTACAAAAAGAAATATTAAGATTTGCAAGCACATTACTATGAATAAACATCATTTCTCATAAGTTTTTTCTTGTGTCTCAGATCGAAATCTTTTACGTATCTCTGATCGAAGCCTTTCTTGCATCTCTAATTGAAGACTTTCTGATCAAAGTCTGTCATAAAACTGAATAATATAATAGCCTCTGACATAATCTAGGTATCAGTCATAAGCAGAAAGAGTTGGCTTATCACAATCAGAACATAATAACCATTTTTTTGATTTCTAATAAAATCAGCATCCAGTAGGTCTAGTAAAAGCTCTTCCACAAACTTTTTTAGTATTGCAGAGAAATAGGCAGGAATATTCACTGATCATCCTATTTTATATCACTAAATATCGAAAGAATAATTAATAAATAGTTAATGCTTCAGTTTCAGGAAGATAGCTAGAACCGTTTTTGCAAACCTGCAAATACCGTCTTCAGTGATTAAAAAGTGAAAGGAATAGAAAATAATTAATTAAAGAAAAAATTTTATAAGCAAGTAATAGCGTGATGGTTAGAGCTAACTATATACCAAATGTCAGATGCATATCTTGATTATATCGAAGAAATAAGTATAGAAATAGCTGATTTCAATCCAATTAGTCCTACTACCCATATATCTTTACTTGAAACTATGCTAAAATGTAATAATAGAATTATTAATATTCAAAATAATGATGACTGATACTTCAGATGGTATGTTTTAGGAGCTTTGCATTCAGTTAAAGTTTATTCAGAAAGAAATCCGCATTGGATATATGGAGATTTTGTAAAGAAACTTAATATGAAAGACATTTCGATTCCAGTACCAGTCTCAATACCAGTTTATAAAAGTTTGAAGAAAATAACCCTGAAATCTATGTGTCTATGAATGGTATAATCAAAACAAATGTCTTGACTTTCGCTATAGTTCAGAAAGAAGAGAAGATGAATATAAGCAAGTAAATCTTCTAGTAATTACGGAAGAAGAAAGAAGTCACTACTGTATTATCAAAGATTTACATAAGCTAGTATATAATTATAGTAAATATAAAGGGCAAAAATACCTCTGCCATTATTGTCTTTATGTATACTTTTCAGACATAAGATAAAATGAACATTTGCCAAAATGCAAGGATCTAAATAATACCTTACAATGATCACAAATGCCAGTTAAGAATAGAAATATCAAAGTTTTTATAACTATAAATGCATGCAACCAAATCCATATCACATTTTCTGAGATCTAGAAATGTTAACTAAAAAGTTAACTCCAGAAGAAAAGATGAAGTTAATCTATACTGAAAGATTACAGATATACAAGCTATATAGTTATTACTATATAGTTATTTATATGGATAGTTCACTTAACTATGAAATCATAAGTCATGATTTATATAAGGGTCTAAATGTGTTTGAAAGATTTGTTACAAAAATCAAGAAGGAGCTGGCAAACATATAGGAGGACTTATCTACGCCTGCAGAAATGATAATGGTATCAGAAGATCTTAAAGTATACAATGAAGCAACAGAATGCTAGATTTGCAAGAAATCTTTTTTAAAACTAGCACCAGAGATAGTACAAAAACTCAAAGAAGCAAAGCATAATTTATTAGAAATCAAAGAATGGGAATCATATATGAAAAAAGAATATTCAAAAAGAAAGAGGCATAGAAAAGATACTGAGAAGCTTTAAGTGCACTTAATTGAAAAGTAAAAGATCATAATCATATAAATAGAAAGTACCGAGGCCTAGCTCATGACTCTTGTAATAAAAAGTTACGAATAGGCTCTTTTGAAACTAAAGTACCTTTTATTTGCCATAATTTTTGAGGTTATGACTCTCATCTGCTCATGAAAGTTGTGAGCAAGTTTACGGCTGATAAGCTAAAATGCATTTCAGAGAATATAGAAAAGTACAAAGCCATAAATGTTGGCCAGCTTCGATTTCTTGATAGCTTTCAGCATATGGGAATGGGATTAAATAAATTAGTAGAATATCTAGGAGGAAAGCTCAAAAAATTCTCCCTAACTGTTAGATATTTTACTAAGAAAGGCTATTCAATAGATAAGATTAAGCTTCTTTTTTGAAAGGGCATTTTTCCATATGGCTGAACAAATTTATGGGAAAAATTTGACAGAATAAGCCTCCCATCTAGAAAGGACTTCTATTCATTTCTTAGTTAGCAAAATATTAGTAAAGAGGATTATGAACATGCTTAAAAGGTATGGCAAATATTTGAGATGAAGAACTTTAGAGAATATCATGATCTTTATCTTAAGACAGATGTACTTTTACTTGCAGATGTTTTCATGAACTACATTATCATGTGCTTAAAAGATGACAGCTTAGATTCTTCTTATTATATTTCAGCATCTGAAATGTTTAATAATTCTCTTTACAAAAGTAGCAGGGTAGAACTTAAACTCATGACAAATATGGATGAATATCTAACGGTGGAAAATGGCATTTGTAAAGGCATGACAATGACAAGTCATCGATACGCTAAAGCAAATAATTTACAATATTCAGACTATGAGTCTAGCAAGTCAAATTTCTAGATCATATATGAGGATACGAATGCTTTATATTCAGGTACAATGATCTAATACATGTCTACAGAAATTTTAGGTAAAGTAGCATCAGAGAAAATACTAGATATCTAAAACATAGCGCCAGATGCAGAAATAGGCTATACACTAGAAGTTGATCTAAAAATCCTAATGCACTTGCATGATTTCTTTACAGATTATTCATTAGCATCTGAAAGCAGATAGTTCCAGAAAACTGGCTTAATCTATATAATGAAAGATTAATATAAGATAAAGAAGTTGGAAATGGAAAATATGTGTCTGGAGAGAAGCTAGTCCAGACCCTCTTTACTAAGAAGAATTATGTAATTCACTATCGAACTCTTTAGACATATATAAAGTTCAGGATAAAGGTTATAAAGATTTATAGTGCTTTTAAATTTTGGTAGTCTCCATAGATGAAAGAATATATTGAGAAAAATATTTATAAGCATAAAATTGCTAAAGTTAATGGTGACGAGTTTGAGGTCATGTAATATAAGCTAAAGAATAATGTAATCTTTGACAAACAAATGGAAAATGTTCATAAATATATGAGAGTAGAATTACTTTGAACAGAAAAGGATAAAAAAATCAGACGCTTAGCAAGTTCACTATTGTATATAGGCTTTAAAGCATTTGAAGAAGGAATTACATCAGTCCATATGTTATAAAGTACAGTAACTCTAAATAAACCAATCTATGTAGAATAGGTAATTCTTAACATTAGCAAGGCTATAATATTCAACTTTTGGTATAGTTACATAAAGCCTCATTATAAAGAAAAGGTCTATCTACTTTATACAAATACAGACTCGCTTATCATGTAAATAGAAACTGAGGATATCTATAAAAATCAAGCAGAAAGACCAGACATTTTCGATCTTAACTATTCAAAAAACTTATTTCTAATGAAGGATAGAATCCAATATGCAAATCAGTATACTTAAAGCCAAAAATGTATTCAGTTCTTCCAGCAGGTCATGATCCTAAAACTCCTGATGATTCTGATTCAGAAGACCCTAAAAAGAAGCATAGCATCCAAAAGGCAAAAAGTATTAAGAAATACGTGGTTAAGAGGAAACTTCAATATGATAAGTTTCTAGAATGTCTTAGAAATAAGAGACTAATCCAGCATAATATATATGGTCTCTAAAGTTATGATTATCAAATATATCTAAAGAGAGTAAATAAAATAAGCTGAATTCATATGATAACAAGTGTTAAATTTTACTTGATGGAATTTGAACTCTCCCATATGAACATTAGCAAATTGGATTATACAAATGCCTGATAGCATCTGGAATATCTTCTAAGAAAGGACTATGAAAGGTAAACTTTGAGTTAAGGAATAGATGCTTTATAACAAATATTTTTTCGGATAAAAATTATCAAAGAATATAATTTTATTAATTAAAGTTTTTTATCGTTATATAGTGCATATAATTTAGTTCTAACAAAAAATTTTTAAGCAGTCAAATTTGAAATTTTGATCTTTTGTCACATGACATATTAAACTCGTAATTTTATTGGCCCATTTACATACACGTGACATGATGTTGAACAATGAAAATTTTGTGATTGTTATAATTTTTTTCTTCTCATATATAAAATAGCTTTATTAGAGAAAATTTTTTTGTTTCAATAAATAATTTACCCATATGCCATGTCTAATAAAACGTCAAAAACTCTTAAAAAAGGCTTGTAAAGCAAATCTGTATGTCAATAATGATAATATATTGATCAATAATAATGTCAATGATAATTTGAAAGATCCCGATGTTGACAATGATTCTTTTGATAATTTAGATAACGAAAAGGAGAAAAAATTAGTAATAACGTAAAGCAGCAAAGGAAACTCTTATATTACATACCTTTTGGAATACCAAGAAACCAACAGAAGAGGCTGATGAAATATTAATCAATGAAGATGTAAATGATGATATCATAGATATAGATGATGAATAGTCAGATGGTGAGATCGAGGATTGCAAATGGAATAATAAAATCTTAGCTGCTTTTGAAAATCTAGAACTAGATATTAAAAAAGAAAATATGAAAAGTAAAGTTAGAGTATACTTAAATGGTATTCGTTTTATCTTCAACTTGTAAAATCTAATTATTCAAAAATGAATGCAAGTCAAATTGTTTCTAATGTAGCAGGAAAAGAAGTTTATCATGCTAAATGTATTCATTCTTAGGCATATGAGTATGTAATGACCCGCAAAATTCTTTATTCCTATAGAGGATATCATGCTAAAATATAGAGCTTTTTTTGGGATGAAGACATTCTGTTTCAGGTAAAATCATATGTTCGAGAACATAAGTAGAACATTACTTCACAGATGTTAATGATACAAATGAATGAGATTATTTTATCAGGTCTTAGATTTGCTCTGTCTCTAACTATTCATCTCAATATTGCAAGAAATTATTTAAAAGAACTTGGATATACATATGCTAAGGTGAAGAAGGGAATATATATAGATGGACATGAAAAGGAAGATGTAGTAGCATATTGAAAAATATTTTTAGAAGAGATGAGTAAACTTGAATATAGAATGCCTATTTTTTCAGATGATTTAGAAAAAATAACCTAGCCAGATAATGATACACAATCACTTATTCTTATTACACATTATAAATGCATTTTCTCAGGATATGATGGAAGTTAAAGTCTTTGGATCCCTAATAGAGAATAACCTTTATGAAAAAAAGGTAATGGTCGCTCAATTTATGTTAGTGAATTTTAACTGATATTTGTGACTGTCTTACAGTATCTGATGAAATGCAGGTACTAGATGATTTTCCTATGGAAGTTTGTATTATTATGCATCTAGGTAAAAACAATGATGAATGGTGAAAGGCTGATGATTTAGTCAATCAGGTAGTTGAATGCACTATTCCTATATTTGAAATATGCTTTTCATGATGCCAGGTCATATTTGCGTTTGACAATGCATTAAGCTACACTACTTTTTCACCAGATGTACTTATTGCTAAACATATGAATCTCAGCCCTGGTGAGAAACAGCCAAAGATGCGCAGAATATATTTTGGTGATGAAAGGATTTAACAAGATATGATCTTTTTATTAGATTATCACATTTCTAAATTACGTGAACAGCTAAAGGGATTAAAGCAAGTTTTAACAAAAAGAGGATTGTGGTTAAATAGGGGGGTTAAAATTGGAAGAAGCATGAAAAATAATGAGCCAGCAACCAGATTTTTTGACACAAAAGGAATGGTTAGAAGAGATAATTATTGCAGCTGAACATAAAATTGTATTTTATCCTAAATTTTATTGTGAACTAAACTACATTGAGAACTTTTGGTATGCAGCTAAAAAATTTAGCCGGTCAAATTGTAATTACTCATGAATAGAATTACAAAGAACTGTTTCATTAGCTCTTATCTCTGTTTCACTTACATCTATTCGTCAATATGCAAAAAAAGCATTTCGTTATATGGATATATATCGAAAGAGTTTAACGGAAAAGGTAGCAGAATTTGCTGTTAAAAAATACCATTCACATCGTTGGGTTCCTGACTCAGTTTTACAGTCTATTAAAATTTAATAAATAAATTAGAGTAAAAAATTTAATAAATTTAAAATGTACTAATATACTGTTTATCATAATGTTAAAAACTTTGCTTAATAAACTTTTCGTGATAAAATAGGAAATGGTATTGTTTTATCCATTAGTTAAACTAAAATGTAATTGAGTTATAAATTTTCTGTTTTACAAAGATGTAAATCAACCAATAAACGTTAAGAATTTTGATCATATGAGTCACATATGGTACGGTCAAAAATTCTGATTTAATAGTAAAATCACCTGACTTTGAGTTGCTACTACTTTATTAAAAATTGTTTTACAAGAAATTTAAAATTATAGCTTTATTTAGCTTAAGTTTCTCTATTATTCTATGGTTTTATTTTATATTTATCATTATTTTTGAGCAAGTAGTAGTGGTTTAAATTTTATCAAATTTAGTAGTTGGGACTAAGTTGTATGCATTATAGTAGAAACTACAAAAATGGTCAATCATAAAGATATAGAACTTGCACAAGTTAAAGTCATAAAAACTGCATTGCAAAAAGGCAGGAAATATGATAATTTTGCGAAAAATTATGAAAACTATCTAAAGAAATTGCAAGCTGAAAAGAATCTGAATAACTATATTAAAACACTTGCAGTAAAAATGTTCCTTAAGAAAGAAGCATATACTGAAAGGTTAGAAAATTATTGCAAAAGGTATAAAGATAATGATCTATATAGCAGTTTAGAGAAATTATATAAGCTTTATTATTAAATAGCTAGGGAGGAGAATCATGAAAGATCAGATAAAGAAATAGAGCAGATGTTCAAAACAATGGCAATTTAGTTGTCTAGTGAATGATGCATATATGTAAGCAAGAAGACAAGTTACAGCACTAATATAATATTATAGTTATTATTCAGGCACAATAAATATTCAGTTATTTTTTTCAGAAATAGAAAAATGATTTCTAAAAAATATTACACATATTTGAAAAAAGAAAAGATATATGCTATTTAAGAAATCAAAGACTCTATTATAGCATTAGAATGTGATATAATAAAGATACATCAAAATCTTAAAAGCATTAACCAAGAAATATATTATCTATATAATGCTATGATACCTAAAGAAATCAAAGAATCATCTGAGTCCAGTTCACCTGAAGAAATGATAGAAGAGATAGTTGTATCCAAAGAAAAGAAAAATAAATTCTATAAACCAAAAAAAGCCAAGTGGATTTGAATAATAGAGTAATTGAATCAAATAAATTATTATGTATGTATGGCTAAAAAATCAAGAAATAATCAGCGTAAGATCACAGGTAAGTTTACTACTAATCCACGCAGTATTTGCCATTATGTAATTCAGCCAAGTATGATCATACATATGATAAGGTAATTGACTTTATCACTATCAAAAATATAAAACAAGACGAGGTTGTAGGCGTGTTTGATTATCCAGAGCTAAGTAAATATCTGGAATTAGATGCTCATTATTAATATTATTTTTTTGATTAAAGATACAGCATATATTATTTATAGCACATACAAGTATTTTTAATATACAGGAATTACTAGAACATATTTTACATTTCTTAGTAGTAAATAAGTCACTCTATCCTATTCTATATGTTTGCCAGCTTTGATACAGATGTAGTGTCCCATTCTATGGAGATGTATTGAGCTAAAGGGAAATAAAGTAGAGGATAAATCTTGATTAAAAAGATTTTTAAAAATAGTATATAGGCAAAAACCAATTTATAGCTCAAAATTAACTCATCTTAAAATAACACACTACCACTTACTTTCAGATAAAAAATTTAATGGCATTATGCGCTTGTTCTCAAATATAATTTATTTAGATTTCAATTATACTATAGGATTTAGCAACAAAACACTAAAATGAATAATAAAATTATACTTCAATCTGAAGTATCTTAATTTGCAAAAGGATAAATATATATCCTGTAATATTGGCATAATAATTAATGAAGGTCTATATGCAATTACCCTGTCATGCCATAAATTAGAATATCTAAATATTTCTCACTGTATAGATATTTGTGAACTATCAATTTGTAATATTATTCATTCTTGTCCAAAGTTCAAACAACTCAACCTCAGCTTTTGTAAAATTACCGATATAACTATCGAAGAAATTGCTAGATCATGTCTTAGTTTAAAATATCTTGATCTGAAGGGATGCTATAATATTAACATAAAAGCTATAGATCAGCTCCTTTCACTTAACCTAAATATTCACATTGAAAATTTTGAGAATACTAGAACATATTCTGACTTTATATTTAGTGATTTTTTATTTGATGCTTTTTCTAAACATGATGCTGTTTCTAATCAGAATTCAGCCTAACATCTGATATACAGGCAATCTAATTCTAATACAATTGCAATAGTTTTAGATGACGTACTAGCTAACTAATCTAGCTAGTCTGGAGCAGTGATTATTAGCATTGCATTGCTCAGTATATTGTATTTTATATTTTTTTCGTTTGAAGATGAAAGAATACTAGCCAATCAAGCAAAATAGTACTCTACTGATCTAATTAATCTGGATCAGTGATCAGCTCAGAAGATTTTTTTTGCTGAGTCACAGATTGTGTGACAGAAAAACAAGTGGATCATTAGTTAGATCTTGTGTGACAAAAAAAATAGATTAGCTAAATATGGGTGTTAGTTGAATTTTACACAAATGACATAATTGAAATAATGGTAGTCTCTCCAGAAAAATAAAACATTTTTACTTTCCTCTAGACTGCTCCTTCGACAGAAAATATTTAGGCGTATTAATATCCAATAAAGGTAAAGAACCGTCAGAAGTTTTAAAGATACGCTTTTGCATTTTTATTAGCTTCTTCTAATCCACTTATTTCCTGATCAGAATGACTGACAATACTAAGAACATTCTGAATCATGCTTATATTCTCTTCCAAATATAAAAGCAAATGATATAATATTCCAAGTGCCTTTTTTTCATATGTTTCTCCCTCAAGATTATGTATATTATTATATAATATAGTAAGAACAGAGTGGCAATCCACATCAAGATCTTCTCGTATATCTATTAATTCTCCCACTAAATCAAATAACAGCCCAAATGAATCTTCAAGTATTTTTTCTTTTTTGCTTTGATTCGATGCTGTTTGATTTCTACTCTCAATAGGTTCCTTTTCTGGGTTTGAGAATATACTGAGTTTTTTCTGAATAACTATTATATCTTTCTTCTTATACAAAAGTACTTCATATAATTGAACTTCACTTTTATCAGAACTAATATTAGTATTGCTTATCATGATTGTGTTTATTTCTGATTAGCATACATTCAATTTAGAGTTCAGAATAGTGCTCATTAATCTGGATAAGTAATCATCAGTTCAGAAGATTTTGCTAGGCCACAACGTATGTACTCATGTGTGATAAAAATAGGCAGATCACATAATAGATCTATGTAACATAATTTCGCATATACAGAAAAAGAAGCTATGCATGTTAACCAGTACTTTATTTTTTTATTAAATATAATTGATCTATTAGAAAAATGTCAGATGACGAGACAGATGAGGCCTATAATGAATTTATTAAAGAATATGGGAAGAGGTATGAATATGGCAATGAAGGAATTCCTGAATTTATACTAGAGTGAGAAAACTGGAAAGATCTTTTTTGCGAAATCAAAATCTATTGGAAGACAAAGGCAATTAGGCATTGGAGAGAAAAAATACTTAAGAAATTTGTATATAGTCTATTCAGCATAAGAAATCTAGCATCATTATTTCATGTATTTATACAGTTTAATACTTTTTACCTCTCACAAATTTTAAGCCTAATAGTATTACCGTATAGTGTTGAGGAACTTTGATAGGAAATATGATCAGATGATATAAATACAGATAAGATCAAAGTAGAAAATAATGCAGATGAGGTTAATAAGTTCTGGTATGGATTATTGCTTCAAGGTG